CATCTTCAAAAGCAAGTGATATTCAATTAATTAGTTTAAGATTTTATGTAAGATTATTGTATCTATTCATTGACTCCTAGAATTCTGTTAAAAATATTCTATGCTGTTCTGTGAATGGATTTCTATAGCAGAGCACTGATCATGGTCAGGGAACTGGCTGGGGTGGTCATCAATTTTGTAAGCATTCCTAGGTTAGTTTATTTCCCTTAAGTAATACGATAGACAAAGCTGAATTTTAATCAACATTGTGTGCTATAAAGAGTTGATTCAACTGTTGCTCTTTCAGAAGATCGGATGTCAGTTTCCATATCATTTGGTTCACACCGGCCTGTCATCTCAGCCTCGAAGAATCTGACATCTTCTTATGACCTCCACAAGAACACCCACACATGTGACATACACACACGTAGACATGAATAAAAATAAATCTTTTGAGAAAAAAAAATCAATATTGCAGGACCAGCGAGAGGGCTGAGTGAGTCTGGCTGCCGGCTGCCATGCCTGATGACCTGAGTTTAATCCTGGGAACCACATGGTGAATGACAAAAATAGACTCCCACAAATATTCCTTTGATCTCCACACATGCACTATTGTGTGCATGTGAGTATATACACACACACACACACACACACACACACACACACACACACACACACACAAATAAATGAATAAATGTTAAAAAAAATCAATAATTGCTTGTGAATTGCAATAGAGTTTCCTGGTTAGTTTCTGCCTATTTGACACAAGATAGAGGAACCTCAATTGATCAAATGCTTCTGTCAGATTTTGTGTAGGCAAGTTTGTGGGACACTTTCTTGATTAATGATTGATGTGGGAGGGTCCAGGACTACTATGGACACGTAACTCCTAAGCAGTTGGTCCTAGATGAGGACCAACTATTCTCTATAGCTGAGCCAGACATAGAGAAAAAGCCAGTTAGTGATGTTTTTCCATGACTTCTTTAGTTCCTACCTCCAGATTCCTGCCTTGAATTCCTGCCCTGACTTCCCTTCATTATGGACTGTAAGCTGCAAAATGATATAAATCCTGTCATCTCTAAGTTGCTTTTAGTCATAGTGTTCATCATAGCATTTGAAAACTAACACACCATTAATGTGTCCAATTTTCACGAAGAAAATTTTTGTAGCTACAAAGTTTACCATGTTTATCACTTAATGATGATACATCCTGAAAAATTCATCATTAGGTGATGTACAATTATGTAAACATCACTGAGTAAACTTACAGAAACCTTGATAGTAGAACTAATGATGCCCCTATATTCTATAGACTATGTATCTTAGACTACACACATGTAACATGTACTAAGTAACATTTGCAGTTGTAGTAAAATGGTATTTGTGTATCTTAATATATATACCACACAAAGGTACAGAAAATGCACTGGGCAAGTGGGACTATGCAGCTCCATTGTGGCATTACGGGACCACAGTCATATCTGTAACTTTATCATTCGTGGAGTTTCATGAAGCAGCACTGATGTAGATTCCACATCATATAGCTTGTGGTCTTCGTGTGTGTGTGTGTGTGTGTGTGTGTGTGTGTGTGTGTGTGTGTGTGTGTGTGTGTGTTGCAATGGCACTCATGGACATGAGTGTATGTGTATGTGAGGTATAAGTAGCCATGTGTATAAACGTGTGTGTATATATCAGAGGATAACCCTGATTCTTGTTTCTCAGGTGCCATCTTTTTTTGACAGGTTGCTTCCTTAGCCCAGAAGTTGCTTCAAAGTTTAGGATCCTAGACATCTTCCTGACCAGCACTGGGTTGCAAGATTGAACTCAGGTCTTCAGGTTTAGAAATCAAGAATTCCACAGACTGGGCTATCCTCACAGCCTCCATCTTATGGGCTTCAACTTAGAATGGAACTGGAAATTTGTTTAACCAACAGGCTATCGCATTACATGAATTGTTGGTTTAACTATTGAATGAAAAATTTCAACAAAGTTGAATCTCAAGTACCATAAAGCTCAAGTACCCCTAACGAAAAACCTCAGCAAATTTCAAAGTTTTCTCTAATGCAAACAACTGAAAAACAGCTTCCTAATTCACTATAGATAAGAAGCTCATTAAAAGTTACAGGTAGCATTTTTAATGACACAGACTATTTATACCCTACAGTTTTATGAAGTGTTTGGAAAAAACGAGCTTGCAGTAGTTTCATGACTCTAAGGAATGCAAACTCTTTAATACATAGCTAAGTGGTTGAGAAGACAGGATTGGATCTGGGAAACACCTGGTTGCACTACCTGGCATTACCAAGTAGGAAGAAATGAAAATCAAATAAGTTATGCAAATAATCAACAAAAAAAATCTATGGGGCTAAATATCACAGCTCCACAGAATGGGTACTGGAGGCAGATCATGCCTTAGTTCTGAAATTCTCTAGTTTCATTATACACATATCTAACATGCTGAGCATAAGGTTCCTTTGCAGTAACTTCCTAGGGGAGTTCTTGTGATAGTCAATATGCTAATGTATGTAAACCTTTAACCCATGGAAATAATAGCATGTGGTGGCATCAATAAATCTTACTAAGTGACTCTTTCCAGCACTGGGACAAACATGCATCTCATGGTTAAGGAAAAGACTTGGGAGTTGATTGAGATTAGGACTTACTAATATATCATGGGAGGTCTATGGGGGAAATCTAGAACATGTTAATGCTTATATGGACGGAGAAATCAGCTACTTTAAAAGTAATCAGATTGTGTTATAAATCTATGATGCCTTATCTCACTGTCTTGTTAAAGAAATGCAACTTGCCCACAAGCTTTGATACATGGGCTGGTTCATGGTTTAGAATTCTTTTCTTGAGTGGGGGTTTCATGTATCTTAGGCTGGCCCTGAACTTGCTATATACTAAAGGGTCACCTTGAACTTCAGATTTCCCTGTTTCCATCTTTAGTGTTTCTATTATATATATACGGACCACAGTGTATATTTTATGATGTTCTAGGGATTGAACTCATGGCTTTGTGCATTCCCGACAAGCACTCTATCAGTTGTGCATTCCCGACAAGCACTCTATCAGTTGAACAGTATCCCAGACCCAGTTTCTGCCTTGAGTGATTTTCCTTCTAAAATTATATTAAGTGTATTAAATGCATTTCAAATCTGCATAACTCTTTAAAACAAATATACTGAAGATAATTCAAACATGATTCAGATATACACAACAAACTCATTTAGTATCAAGTAACTATTAGGTATGCCTAATTTTGGAATTCTTCATTAGGAAAACAACCAGATGAATAACATACTAAAAATATTTTTATGACAGAGAGAAAATTTTATGATTATTAGAAACTCCAAATATAGATACTAAAAATCATGTTTTCCATTGTTGAAAATTTATGAGAGAAGACATGTGTGGTAAAGCACATCCTTTTATGCAAAAGAGTGTGAGCAACTTCTTATTTATGTTGAAGTGATGTCTGCAAAGAACATTTCAGAATGAATCTGGCAGAGTCTGTTAAGAGTTGTGATCCTCATAGAAAGCTGATGAAATACAGGAGATTAAAGAGATAACTGTGAACTGTTTCATTTTTAAAAAAAAAATTATGAAAAAAACCACAATCTGACAATTTATCTCTGCTTTCATATTTCAAATTATGAAAATCAGAATATTAATGTAGGTATTCTACAACTATTTTAGAAACAAAATCTTGCCTATTGTATATTTTTTTCATAAAATGCCTTTCTGGAATGCATTCTCCATACTTCACAAAGACATCATTATGCAAGCAACGTAGAACTGTCTCAGTTCAAAGATGGTTTATGCCTTTCATTTCCTAAAATATCACTGGTCAACAAAAAATGGTCAGTGGGAGCTTTATACTTTTCACAGAGGCCCCTGTCGAGATAATAATATATGAAACACCCTTGAGAGTTCAATTAAATCTATACACTTAAATGCGTTTTTCAGAACAAAGAATGTAAGTACATGAAATTCACTGAATTCTCACTACTCAGTCATGCTATAATGACTCAAAATGAAATTTTATCTTGCTTCATTATTATTTTTAAATTATAATTCATTTCTTCTTGGCCAAAATTTTCTCTATTTTTGAAGCGTGCGCACTTCCAGCTCATGAGTCATGTGCTGTTTCTTGAAATAAGCATGGATGAGCAAGCTCAGAGCTGTCTCTTGGCACGGGAAGTCTGCTGATCCCCAGATATTTTTCTCCTTCTGAGACATCAAAGGAAGTTGGAACCTGGGATTTGTTTATGATCCCAGGTGTTCTCTGTCTCTGGGATGAGCTGAATATCTAATATGAGACTACAGGATTTCCTGTGTGATTTTTCACTACAAAATCCCATGAATAATTAACCAGTAAGAGAAAAAAAAATCTGTTTTGTTGGTGAATCTTCCTTTGGGATAAGAAGTCAGAAAATGCTCCATTTTAGATTATTTCATTCTTCATTAATCCTGAAGAAAAAAAACACACATTGCTGCTGTATATCATGGCTTCTCGGGAGTGTATAAAACATACTCTGATGTGTTCCTTAATCCATGGCCGGCTATTACTCTCCAGTCTGAACCTCATGAATGGATATGCATTTGATTTTCAAAAGGTTGGCAGTACATAAAACGTAGATATAATTTAATCACACTGAAAAAAATGTTTTGATGCTATTATGCAAATAAGTGTATAAAATTTAATATCAATTTCTACTTGCTCGGTTTTGGAGAGATTCAGAGGGGATATACGTCCCCCTCTTTGCTTTTCTATGCATTGCATGTTCTTGCATTAAAAACATTGTTAATACAGGCATTCATGTACACAAATACATCATCAAAATTGGATGCTGTAGTGACATGTGATGTGGGAGCAGTCTAAGACCTGGAAATCTCAAAGCTGTTGCCTTCTTTATATTTATGCAGTTATTTTATGCCCTCCCAGAGAACTTGTCAGTACATGCAAATTAAAGAGTAATATCTTTTTTTTAAAAAAAGTATAGGAATATACATACTATAAGGGACACATTCATACTGCACTTCAAGGTATTTATAAGTTCCTGGACATGGGTCTGGAAAAACATCAGGACCTGCCACCACAGCACACTGGGTTCTGTTATTGCATCTGAAATCAAAAGAAATAAAGAAATAGTAAATTTATGCAAGCTTAAATCATCATGAACACCAACACTGACATTATTTTACTTCCAGTTATGTATAATTATTATATAAGATTTTGCTGACTTAGGACTATAGATTTATTAAAGGAGTATCTTCAGTGTTCTTTAAAAATTAAAACACAAACATCTATTTGTGTATTTTGCACATAGTCATTTATATTTGTTTGAATAGGGCATAATTTTAGGTAGCAGTTAAATATTGCTAAAGCAATGCAATGTCATCCATAGGACATTGGAAATGTGAATACTTAGTAGGATTAATTAAGAGGAAAGACCAACTATCATTTCTAAAACTATATTTGACAGAATATAACAAAATATTACTCTTACAGAGTTTTCAGTTTTTAAGAATTCAGAAAAAATAGTATTTAAGCATCAAGGAGATGGTTTAGCTGGTTATAGAATTGATTTTGATCTTTAACATTCATCAGGTAGAGGGAGAAAATCCATTCCTGCAACACCTTGGCATGTGTAGCCAGAACACCTGTAAGCACATGCACACAAATAAATGTAAAATGTCTTAAACTGATCACTGAAATATAGAAATACATTTATTTTGCATATGTGATATTAGCCACATAAGTAACACCATTTTAAAGGATGGATTCTCCATGTTTCTCTTATTCCATCTAATAATGACACCAACCTTATAGATTACATGTCATTTAAGTCAGTATTATGTAATTCAGAAGAGTAGCTTTACATTTCTGTAGGGAATGAAAGCATACTACTATTATAACAGAAATACAAACTTGGGTGCTTAAATTGGATTAAATCGATTTGGGATGATTTATCCTTGAGGGGAAAAAAATACATATAATTAAATTCAATCACCTCTGAAAAAGAATCTAGCTGACAGTGGCCTCATTACCACACATTTTACTCAGAAACAACTTCCTAGGTTCAGTAATTTATCCATTAGTAAACTATGGTTAATGGGTTCACAGACCCATAATATGGACATGTATGGGATGGCGACACCGACTACTCTATTTTGTTCTGCTTACTGATTTCAGATATGGAAGACACCGTTAGCCCCACTTCAGGACAGCTTTTCCTATCACTTTCTTAAAAGTTTCCCTCCCTGATGCAGTCCATGCCTCAGAAGACTTCTGGGACCTTGACACTTATATGAAAATGCAAGTGCAGGATTCAGTTTGATTTAGAGTAAAACACGTATCTACTTGAAGCTAACATTTCTCAGGTTTAATGAGGGTTTTATTTAGTTCCAAATTAAGATGGAGTCATTATTGAATGGCTAAAGCTGAAACTTTATTTTATGTTATGAATCAAAGATTAATACAAGTGAAAAAGACCGTACTAATCCTAGCACTTAACCCAAAGAATTTACAAAAACTGATTGTCTCCCCTGGAGATCTGACATTTGCTCTCTTGATCAGGCTACCCTATTTCAATACTAAGGTAAATGTGATGGTTCTTTAAGACACAGGACAAGTGCACAGTGTACTGTAGTATCCTCATGAAAAACAACACTGCTACCCTCTCACAATGAAAATCCAATCACAGAATATAGCACATTAAATTACATGATAATTGTAGCTAAAACAATACAATGTTCACATATTACACAAATTACATGCAGCTTGTTTATACTGAAGGAAATTTAAACAGCCTTCATTTGTAATTTTAGTTACCTTTGTATTTTACTTCATGTGCCTCTAAGATGAGCTTGTAGCTAATGAAACAGTACATATGAAGAAGTTCAAAATCTAAAACTGTCCTATGATGATGTATGCACCATGTCTTATGTAAAACAGCATTACCTTATAATATCTACTCTTAGAATTATTTACCACTTCAGGACAAAGTGCTCAGAATATCAAAGGAAGAAAGGAATGTCCAATTTTTGTAGAATGTTCTCTTTATCTAAAATACATTATAATCTTTGTATAAGATACACCATAATCATAGTACTGAGTGTTTAAATTTTAGAAGACATGCTAGATTTGGAAAACAAAACTTAAAGGAATCTTTCCTCTTAGTTTTCTCATAGTACTTCAGTTACTGCGAATCAAAGGGAAAATAGTTTCAATATTAACTCAAAAGTTTTTGAACAATTCATATTTACAGTAATTTCAAAATCATGAGTGCAGTCATTTAATATACTATTTACAAAGTGGGAAATAAAATAATCCAGTGTTCTTATGTGCCAAACTTGGATGTTTCATTGTTTATTTTAATATAAATACTTGTTTCATTTGTTTTTAATATAAATATAAAAATTATTTCCAGTATCCTTTAAAGCTTATACTACAGCTATTTTAAAATTCACAATAAAGAACAAAAAAAATTGAAATAATATGTTCAAATCCACTTAACCCAAAAATAAAAACAAAACACTATAATCTTCAAATATTTGAAGGATTATTTACATTGATATTATTTGCAGTATTGTTTTCATTAGATATTTTATGTGAAAACCACCTCTACTCTAATATGATTGCCATCAGAAGCTGACACCGATAAATGTCAGGGAGAATGCTGAAAGATAAAAAGAAATTAAAAATCCACCCAAACAAAACCAACCAACTAAACAAACAACAAACCAAACACAAACCCCAAACTCCTGAGATTGGAGTTTCAGCAAACTATAATGGAGTTGTTATTTTATTATATCACAGGGTTGGTGAGCCTATTACAAAACATATTAGGTATAGTTTTGGTTGTTGTTTTTGCTGGTATTATCATCATTACCCTGAGTCAATAGTTCCAAGAGAGGATTCTCCTCAGGTAAATGGGCACATTTGAAATAAACAAACAATGCAAGCAGTGTGACACAAAGCATCATAGCAGTTCTCTGGCTTGAGGCTAGAAACAACAGATGAAAACACTGCCACAAAAAGTCATGGAGCTTCACCCATAGAACCTCAATAACATGGCTTTCTGAACGACCTGAACAAGGACTATGAAACACTAACATGAATGAGCAAAACTACAGGGGTCTCACTTCTCTAGAGAGAACACCAGGCAACTCAGAAAAGCAGAGTTCAGGAGAAATACCTTCCTGAAGGTTGAACAAACTAGTTGGATATCCAATACCAAGGGGTCAGCCCTAAATTCATACACATTCAAGCTGTGGGAGACCTGCCCCCACTTTTCCCCCCAGGGTACTGTTGAGCAGGGAGAAGTGAGAAATAGTTAGACAGAAATACAGAGGGAGAGAGACAGAAAGAAACACAGGAGGGCCTGAGACAAAACCCACCAGACCCTTCTGTCTCTTTTAAAGGGCTATTTATAGAAATGACCAGGGTGGAGCAAAAGACCTCCCCCTAGCACAGCCAAGTGCAGACCCTTCCAAACACCTGGTAACCACATACATGGTCAATCCATCCCCTTATTCAGCCCTGCTGTGTAAAGCAAGCTCAGATCTCACTAGGAAACCTCTGTGGACTCCCACCCCAAGCAAAACTAAACAGACTCAGCAGGCATCATTTATATACACATTGTTGTGTGTATGTATGTGACAATAACAATTACATTAAAAAAAGGTCATGAATTTGAGAGGGAGCAGATGAGTTACATGGGAGACTCTGGAGGGAAGAAAGAGATGGGGGAATGATATCATTACATATTAATTAAAAATAATCAAGAACAACTATAAATGTAGATGTAAACATATAAAAACAAAGCCATGTAAAGATGAACACCAAAAAACAAACAAAAAGCCAAAGAAAACTTCCAACTACACAACAAGTCCTTGCTCACATGCAAACTATTTTCCTTTACATATTCTAGGATAAATCCAAGATTATTAGTAAAGATATCCTGAATTGCATTACTTTTAATTGATCTAATTTTACAAGTTTATCAACGAATGAAGCTATATACATTTAGCATATACACTGTTAGGTTTTAATGTATGTACAATTCACAAACAGATTCCCCCATATATCAAGCTTATTAATGTATGATCATGTAACAGAGTTACTTATTTCTTTGTTTGAAGAAATAGTGGTCTACTCTCACAACAAACTGCACAACAGGATAGCTAAGGCAGCCATTCTGCAACTGGATCACCAGCATGCCAGCACCCTGTATTTCTCAAACTTTACATCCTTGAACAGGATCTGTCTCTTTCCACCACACCTCAGACATCAGCAACCTTCATTCTAAGCTCTGTTTCTTTAAGACTCACAGGCTTATGGCCCTGGAATTGGGCTTTAAAATGAACGAATCCACACACATAGCTTAGAAAAGAATTTTAGTCCTGTAACATTGTAAAAGTGTAACAGCGACTTCTAAGTTATAATCTTTCCACCGTTGAAATCTATAACAGTGGCTGGCTAGAATTATGAATGTTTTCAATTGAAAATAAATGGAGTTGAATTTGCAGTACTTTATTACCATCTACATATGGCCTCATTTGGAAGCTGAATCTCCATCACTTGTATGTAGAATGAGCCAAATAAATGAAAGTGTCTGCTTAAATTCATTATCTCCAAGTGCGAGAATAGTGAGATCACTATTCTCTAAATGTGAAAGGACAATCATTCACAGAAGCACCTTTATTATACAGAATGCTAATATATATATTCTCTATTATCCTCCTGTATTATATAGTATACTAATGTATTTCATATATCCATTCTATATTATATAGTATGTTGATATATATTTCATACAATGCATTTCTACTATATGGCATGCTAACAATATATTCAGGAAATATGTAGTAAAAGGTAAGTTAATATGTATTTTATATGCCTATATTTTTAAGTGAGTGGCATGTACACTTTCCCAAGTGTTAATTGAGAAAGACATTAACAACTAATATATTTTTGCTTTGGTCTTGTCAGAGGCAATCTTCATGGTATTTCATGAAATTGATAAAAAAATTTTTAAAAATTCCTTTATTCTCTGAGCTACAAAATATTCACTGTAACATACCTGGCCCCAGTTGAAGGATGTCAGAGAGTCATTTAGT